TTTAATGCTTATTCTTCCTGAGATGTACTAAAACAAAACGTTTTGCCTTTGTTCTGTATATTTAGTTTTTGGGTGGTGTTTCGGTTGCACTGAGGTTTGTTCCAATAGAAATTCATGTTGAAGATCCCAATAGAAATTCATGTTGAAGATCGGTCCTCAGTATAGCATTGTTGAGAAGCGGTGGAACTTCTAAGATGCTATTAGCACTTGGGGGGGTTCACCTCCAGGAATGGGTCAGTGCTGCTTCCGGGAAGTGATTTTTCGCTCTGTGGACTGGACTGGTGACCGTGAGAATCAGTTGTGCTGATCTGGGGCTGCCTGTCAGCAGTCAGGGAAGTAGGTGAGAAAAAGCTAGTTCTCCTGTAGAGTGTGGCCATTCTCATTTGATCCCGTTTACAGCCGGACGTTTTTGCCCAGCCTTGAGCTTCTTGCACGGAGCTGTGTGTTTGCTTGTGATTGCAGTGAGAGACAGGCCTCTGGCAGGGTTTCCAGTCCTAGTATTCAGTCACTTTCTTGTTTCCATCCTCACCTGAGATTTCTATGGTCACTGCTAGTCAGTGAAGATGTACAGATATTTTGGTTTCCTCAAAACAACATTTTTCTGGAAGTTCTGGAGATGAAGGCTCTCTCTTCTGTGTTGTTAGGCTGTTTACCATAGCAGCAACTAGTTGGTTGGTTTGTTGCCTAAAAACATTTAAAAAAAAATACTAATGAACTTTAAATTATACATCTGATTCTTTTTAATATATATATATATATATATATGTATGTATGTATATTAACAAAAATCCATTCAAAGTGATTTTCAAGATGCAGTGTCCTTCTTTGGTTAATCTTCTCTCTTTAATCCAAAATCCAAGACAGTTTGTTAATCATTTTCCTTTTAGTGACTGGAACATAGAATGCCCTCAATAGATATCTGAAGGCTGAGTAGTAATTGAGTTAGAAGTTTGTGTAATGGGAAGCTTGTAAAACAAAAGACACTTTGGTTGTGTATGGATAATATTTTGCTTTTGTTTCTCCCTATTTTTAATTGTTGTTCTTCATCATGACCCCCCAAAACTAAAAAATCCTAAATCTAATTTAATTATTTGTAATCAGTTAATTTTATTATTTAGGAAGTAGAATCTAGGGCCCCTTGCATGCTAGGTGAAGGCCCTAGCACTATACTTCCAGCCTTAAGGACATTAAGTATTTCAAACTTACCATTGCAGATTTGATAGATGTTTGTTGAAATAGAATTTAAAATTTTATATTACCTTTTGCTTATTTAATTATTGTGTGTATGTATATGGTAGATTATGTATATGTCACAAAACACTTGTGGAGATCAGTGGACAACTTGTGGGAATCACTTCTCTCCTACCACATGGGTCCCAAAGATCACATCGACTTTGTCATTCTTGGTGGCAAGTGCTTTTACTCATTGAGCCATCTTGCCATCTCTGAAAGGCAGTTTTAAACATTTTAGCTCAATTGGCTGAACATGATTTAAGCTGTGAATTTAGGATTAAAATACCTATTTGTTGGGCTGGAGAGTTGGCTCAGAGGTTGAGAGCACTGGCTGTTCTTTTAGAGGTCCTGAGTTCAATTCTCAACAACCACATGGTAGCTCACAACTGTCTGTAATGAGATCTAGTGCCCTCTTCTGGCATGCAGGTATACATGCAGACAGAACATTGTGTACATAATAAATAAATTAAAAAAATACCTATTTGTTGATATGGTTTTCTCTGGAGGTAGGTCTGTACCAACACTGATTTATGTACACATAATATTAGCACTGCATACTTGGGGTCTTTCTAAGTAGACTGACATGATTATGGTGAGAAACTATAACAATTTTTGTTCCTTTTCCATTGCCTCTTGATGATTATAGATTTTCATAGCCACAAATTTAATATAACATTTTATCCAAATTTGTATTTAGAGTGACTATGAGGTTATATAAAAATCTAGTAGGTAATGACAAAAATTATCTATACAATGAGAGGAAATAGTAAAGTCAGTATTTTATGCAAACCAACTGCTATTTTTCTTATTAATAAAAGCTGTCTACATAGGACAGTGGATTGTAGATGCGAAGGTAGTAGAAAAACCTTGACTGGACTGCAGGTGCTGGATCTTGGATCACAAATGAGATCCTATCTCTACCCTTCACACCCCAAGAAATGGATGAATGAAATATTGACAGTTACCCTTAAAAATCAATGGCTGATTCTAAGGCCATATAATGTGTGAATTGTAGTTTTGTTTTAACTTTCTGTGTATTACTTCTAACCTTTTAAAGGTTTGCCAAAAGAATCTATCCAGAAAAATGATCCTTTGTAACTAAAGAGATTACCCCCTCCTCCCAGGCTAAGAACAACAGAAGGGAGAAGCCATGTCAGAATGTGGGTTGATGTCGATAAGTACTTCCCTTATGTACAATTGAGGGCTAAGTAAAAGGTAAACAAATCTCTGAGAAAAGGTAACCAAGTATCTTTGTAAATTTTCTGAGTATGTTGTGGACATGCAGCTATTTTTCTCCCCCTCTTCTTTAACACCATCTTTGTTACTTCTCCTGGCAAATTGCTGAGTTTCAATTCTTTAGGAGAAGAAATAGAAGTCTGTGTATCAGGGAAAAAAAATGATGAAAACGGACAGGCTTGCAGCTGGAATCTGTATTGATGCTCCTGGCCCATGTTGCTGTCAAGGACACACATGGAAGCCTGGGGTCTGGGCCACAACCTATGACCATGTTAGTGTCTAAGGGCTATGCAGCTGCTGAGGCCAGGCTGACTTGGTGGCCAGGGCTGTCAACTGGGGCCACTGTATTGTTTGGATCAGGCCTGTGGCAGAGGGCCGTGTCTGGTTCCGTGACCTGACCCTCTGGTATTCCCCCTACAGCAATCAGGAGAGAGGGCACCTTGCCTTGAGCAAAACAGTAGAGGTGATGCTGGTAATGAGAGAGAGAGAGAGAGAGAGAGAGAGAGAGAGAGAGAGAGAGAGAGAGAGAGAGAGAGAGAGAGAGAGAGAAAGAGAGAGCGCTGGATCCAAGGGCCTGAGAGCAGAACTGGTCCCTTTCCTTGCTGTAGGCTGCATTGGGTGAGCTAGCCAAGGCAGTGCTGGGGAGCTTATCTGGGTAGTGAGGATGAGGGAAAGCTAGTGAATTGACCAACCTAGTTACCAGCCAGGTCCAGAACAAGGGCTATGAGTTGGCCCACTCCAACATTCACCAGATCTATGAACTGTTAGAGCATGTGAAGGAGATGAATCTACAGATCTAAAACAGCAGGATCTTCATGACACAGGGCAACAACAGCATAGCCAAGATGAACTCTGATGAGAGCCCATTAGCAGTGTTGTGGCAGAAACCAGAGGCCTCAAGTCAGACCAATGACTCATGACAATAAATACTTGCAAGTAAAGATGAATGGATTAAATGGTAAACTGTGTGACTCAAAGGGACACACTACAGCTCCCATGTTGAGATTCTTCTAGTTTTGTTGCTCTGTTTTGCTTTGTTTACTTTTTGTTTTTTAAGTTTGTTTTTTTTTTGGGGGGGGAGGTTGCAAGGACAGAGAGTGTATGGGAGGTGACAGGGAGATGAGTGGGATCGGAATGCATTATGTGAAATCCACAAAGAATCAATAAAAGTAAAACACAAAATAGACAGGCTTAGAAGAAAAGAGAGAATATGAGAAGAAAGCTTAGGAAAAATAACTCATTTATCTGAATGTCTTTTTTCTAGTGTGTTTGGTGGGGAATTTTCTGGAGAAGGGAATGGCTATGACAAAGGAAAAGGAGAAGATAGAGAAAATGGGGGAAAGAGGAAAAGGGGCAACAATAAAGAGGCAAAAGGGAGAAAGGGAGGAAGAAAATCCAAGAAAATTTTCAGATCTTAATTGAAAATAACACCATTCTTACTTTTAAGGGCTGACAAACCTAAAGTGTGCTATTACCACATATTAAGCAGGAATTGAGGTTAAGTTATTTTTGCTATCAAGCTTCATGCTAATGTAAAGATGGAATAAGAATCCGTAGGAAAGAACTGTTGAAATTTGTTCTAAGAGAATTAGTGAAATGATTATTAATAGTGACTGTGGAAAGCTATGATGCTACTGAAATTTTCTGTTAATTTTAAAAATATTTTTATTAATTCTTGGAGACTTTCATAGAGCGTATTTTGACTATATTGATACCAAGTTCTTTTCTCAATCCTCTATGATCCACTGCCCCTTCCCTCTACCCCCAACGTTGTGTCTTCTTTATTTGATTCAATAATCCATTGAGTTTTGTCTGTGCCATCCATTTATGCTAGATGTAGGGTCATCCAGTAGAACTTGGAACTATACTCTTTAAGAGAACTATTTCTCCTCCAACAAGGCTATCAATTATTCATTGCTTCTCAGTTAGGGATCTCATGAACCCACTTCTGTTCCTTGATAGAATCTTGACTGATTGGCTGTATCTTGTGCAGGTCTTGTTCAGGCATCCATAGCCGCTGTGAGTTCATAAGCACAGTGGGCCTGCCAAGTCCAAAAGGACCATTTTACTCAGATCCTCACTAACCTCTGACTCTTACAATCTTTTCCCTCCTCTTCCCCAATGGTCTAGGACTTAGAGGAGAGGGCTACTGCATGCAGTCTTTTAAAAAGCATCAACCATAGGTTTTGACTTCTATCTTTGGTTCATTAATGTATTTCAAAATCCATCTTGCTTTATTAACACATATTATAAATTTTCCATTATAATTAGTTAAACAATACAACAGTGACATTTTAGTGTTGGTAGGTTAGACAACACAGTTTTAGAGGTTTAGAAGGAATAAGAGTGATCCTATATGATGAAAGATTTAAAAGTCAAATGTGTCTTCAGCCATACTCTCCTGAACATACTTAGCCTCATCTGACCTCAGAAGCTAAGCAGAGATGTATAGTCCTTGCTAGTACTTGGATGTTGTGACAACAGCAGAATAAAATGTGTTTACTAATCTTATCTCATGTTCTTATTTTTAGGCAAAAGGATTCTTGTGGAAGATGGAACTTTGTTTGTTTTCCAGTATGTATATCCAAGCCCATCAGTGGAACCTGATCCTACAGTGCTGTGTTGAAATGCCTGAAGAGGACCCACGTTTTTACCTGAGCCTCCTATCCTCCTAAAACCATGGTTGTCTCAGCAGTTTTGACTGCATCCCATACCGGGACATCCAACACAACATTTGTAGTTTATGAAAACTCTCACGTGAATATGACAGTGCCCCCACCATTTCAGCATCCAAGCCCTAGTCCGCTGCTTAGATATAGTCTAGAAACCATGACTAGCACTGGATTTAGTTCCTTAGCAGTGAACAGCACAGCTACAACCCCAACACCAGCAGTTTTTAAGAGCCTAAATTTAGCTCTCCAGATCATCCTTTCGGCTATAATGATATTTATTCTGTTTGTGTCTTTTCTTGGAAACTTGGTTGTTTGCCTCATGGTTTACCAAAAAGCCGCCATGCGTTCTGCGATCAACATCCTTCTCGCCAGCCTGGCTTTTGCAGACATGCTGCTTGCCGTGCTGAACATGCCCTTTGCCCTGGTGACTATTCTTACCACCAGATGGATATTTGGGAAATTCTTCTGCAGGTTGTCTGCTATGTTCTTCTGGTTGTTTGTGATAGAGGGAGTTGCTATCCTGCTCATTATTAGCATTGATAGGTTCCTGATTATAGTTCAGAGACAAGATAAGCTAAATCCATACAGGGCTAAGGTCCTTATTGCAGTTTCCTGGGCAACTGCTTTTTCTGTAGCTTTTCCTTTGGCTGTGGGAAATCCAGATTTGCAAATCCCTTCCCGAGCCCCACAATGTGTGTTTGGATACACAACTAATTCTGGATACCAGGCTTATGTGATTCTGATTTCACTCATTTCTTTCTTTATACCTTTCCTGGTGATACTGTATTCATTCATGGGCATCCTCAATACCCTTCGACACAATGCCTTGAGGATTCATAGCTACCCAGAAGGAATATGCCTCAGTCAGGCCAGTAAACTGGGTCTCATGAGTCTACAGAGACCCTTCCAAATGAGCATTGACATGGGCTTTAAAACACGTGCCTTTACCACCATCTTGATCCTCTTTGCTGTCTTCATCGTCTGCTGGGCCCCATTCACCACATACAGCCTTGTGGCAACCTTCAGCAAGCACTTTTACTATCAGCACAACTTCTTTGAAATTAGCACCTGGCTACTCTGGCTCTGCTACCTCAAGTCTGCATTGAACCCACTGATATACTACTGGAGGATTAAGAAGTTTCATGATGCCTGCTTGGACATGATGCCCAAGTCCTTCAAGTTCTTGCCACGTCTCCCTGGTCACACAAGGCGACGGATACGCCCTAGTGCTGTCTATGTGTGTGGGGAGCATCGGACGGTGTTGTGAATACCGAAACTCTTAAGATATTTTGGGACATTATGGTTCTTTATTGATGACTTTTTTTTTTTTTAATATGGCTCTAAACTTTTATTAGTTTCTATTGTGTGTGTGTGTGTGTGTGTGTGTGTGTGTGTTGTAAAGAAAGAGTGGTAAGTACTTTGATCCTGAAACTAAGGACACACTGTAAGAAAGTGGTCACATATGTTACCTCTAGATTAAGAAAACTTTGTGGGAGGTGTTTGTTGAGTGGTTTTATTTTTTAACACAAATCATGATTGTGCATCATGGCACCTGCAGTTAATTTGAATTGTAGGTGTTTTTTTTATGCTGCTGAGGCAAGCTTGGTTGAGTTAATCAGTTCCTTTTCCTTTTCTACAAGACACTGCTGCTCTTTGACATCAGATTGGAGTCAAATCCCTATGCATCTCAGTTGGTAGATACTTAGTTTTATTTAAAAAACAAAACCCAGGGAGGTTGGTGACATTTTAAAGATTATTACAATTTACTTTGGTGCACTTTAAGAGACAATGTACAGATTAATTCAGCTGTGTTTTTAGAATTGTTTGTATATATGACATATTGTGCTTTGGGAGACATGCTTATAATTTCTAGGTAGTTTTTATTAAAAATGTTTTAGCTGCATGTACAATTTTCAAAGGAACATAGACACAGGGATTTTTTTTTCAAGCATAATAGTGAGTTCTCAGAGTGCCAGGGAACCATTGAGGAGGCACATTTCAGGGAGGAACAGAATGGGAGGTTGGCTGGTCCAGCTTGTGGCCATCTTGCTGATTGAAACATTCTCACCAAGTTTAGAGAGAAGGGGTCATCACTGCAGTGGGTGCTGTGTACAAGGCAGTGAGCAGTGCTCTGTTTTCATGGATTTCTGTGAGGTAGGTATCATTTGTTTCCTCTGTAAGAGTAAAGAAATCCAAGTTTCAGAGGGATAAAAATCCTCTGAAAAAAACCTCTGAGGTTTTGATACACCTGCTGGGCTCCAAGCATCTGAGGTGCAAATGCCGCTGTCCCTTTCTGCCACACAGACTCCTCATTCAGTTGGAACCTGTCAAGTCAAGGGGGATGCCTCATACTTTACATATTTTTATTCTCTCTCACCTCCTCTCTTCTTCTCTTTTTTTTTTTTTTTTTTTTTTTTTTTTTGAGACAGGGTTGCATGGAGACCAAATAGGCCTTGAAGTTGCTATATATCTGAGAAAGATTTAGAATTTCTAAAGGAAACAAATGAGTTAGGCCCACCCTTTATAGTGGGTGGGCCTGAGGATAAATATAAAAATCAGATGATTTTTCAATCTCTGAAACAAGTGACTGACAGTTCCTGAGTGCCCAGGATCTTGCCTTGCTGCTTTGGAGGCTTCCAGCCATCTAGCTGGGTTCTAATATAATCAGGAGTGGGACCTTTTGCCTAACAGAGCTAAAGTTTGTCAACTTCAGAGGTATGCCTTCCCAAGGGAGATAAACCCTGGTCTGAGCTGAGATTAATTTTAGTAGGTTAGGCTTTGGATTTTTCATTCTTTTTCTTAAGTTGTCTGCCTGTCCTGGTGAATCCAGAAGCTTGGTCAGCTTTGCTCTGCTACCTTATAAAATAGCCAACAGGGGTGAAAGAGTGGCCTTCTGACTGCACTCTGGGCGAAGGCAGATGTCAATGTGTCTGTCCTTTAACAGGGATGGGTAGCACCTTTCCTGAACTTTTGTGCTTTGTGAGCCATTGGGACAAACAAGTCTGTGCTTCTTCCCAAACTGGGTTGCAGGAATTGCTGAGGTCTTACCCAGCCCTTAAGGGTTTTTGTTTTGTTTCGATTTCCCTATGTGAGTATAGTTGGAAGAGCCCAGCCTACTTTACTACCATTATCTGGTCTCCAGTATTACTTTACATTTGCGTTGTTAGCTCTGTCTTAAAATGGTGTCTGAAGGGCTCTGGCGTGGTCATCAGGAATCAGGATGTTGGAAATTTGTTGACAGCACCAAGAGGCAATTGTAATCATGTTGGAAATCCCCTGACTGTTTAATCAGTTTTAGGGACTGGTGTATACTATTTACCACATTATGTTGAGATCATTGGATATGATAGCGACCTACCTCTTTAATTTCTAATTTATGTTTATCACAGGTAAATATGTCTTTGTTCATTGGGATCTTATAGGACTGGAACACTGTAGTAGATAGTAGTAGCACATTGAAATGCATTTTGCTTTCCGTTGTCAATATAAACTGGATTGGAAGTAGACATTAATACAGATGCTGAAAATCCAACTTTCAAGAAAGATAGCACTGTGTGTTGATGCACTCTGCTAACCCTTGAGACTCTTTTTGTGGTTGTAGCTGAACTGTGTTTCTGTCTTCCGGTTCGTGTGCAGTTGAAGGTACTCTTTTCTGGTTAGAGGCAGCTACACTTGGCAAGTACACCGGAGAGACTGCTGAGCCAACATGTGAAAAAACTGTGGGGAAGGAGACACTGAACAGCAGCTCTCTTTACACTGGCTAATCCTTTCAAATGACAGTTTACAGATCACTTTAAAGGTTTTTTTTAAAGTTTGTTTGTTTTTGTTTTTCGAGACAGGTATCTCTGTGGCTTTGGAGGCTATCCTGGAACTAGCTCTTGTAAACCAGGCTGGTCTCAAACTCATAGCAATCCACCTGCCTCTTGCCTCTTGAGTGCTAGACTCAAAGGCGTGCGCCACCACTGCCTGGCCATTTTAACATTTTTTATTGTATGTACCTTTTGAAAGCTTCAGGAAAATAATATTATGGTGCATCGTCAAAGAATGTAGGCACAACATTGCATGCTGCCTATTATCCCATATTTTCTTGATGGGGAAATACCACTATTGACCACTGTTGACTGACATCATTAGAAATTATTTATTTTTCCTCCTAGCTAATATGATGCATGAAAGAGGTAAAATATTTATTGTCAGAATAAAACAGTAAAGAAAAATTTCAAGTAGTTGGCAGTAGTGACATTTAAACTTTAATAAGCATTTGAATATCCCCAGGGAAGGTCAATACAAATTCCCAGTCTCTGGGTCAGTGGTTGGGCACAAGAATGTTTATTTTTATTATATTGAATATTTTGCCTGATTCTGGTTCATATGGTGACTGGGGCACAGTTCCAAGAAATACTCCTGTAGAAAATAAGTATATCATTTAAATACTGTCTTTTGATCTGCCTGCCTCTGCCTCCCGAGTGCTGGGATTAAAGGCATGCACCACCACCTCCCGGCCTGGCTGTTTTATCTTAAGCAGTTGTGTGTTGGAAGGCAATGGTGATTCACAGTGAAATAAAATCTACTTGGTTTATGCCTGTCTGGTGGGCACATGTGCTGGTGTGTATTTGGCCAGCAGCAGCTTTACTTTCTTTTCACTGGAAAAATTTGATGAACCATGTGGTTTCACAGTAGGGGGTCAAAGAATGCCAGAATGCTAATTAGTATAGCATTTCTTTCCTGCAGATGCCTCTATAGGGCATCTCTTCATTACGTGTAATTTCCTGAAGAGAGTGAGGGGAATGTAAAGACTTATCTAATTTTTAGTTCCCTGCCTAGGCCAGTTGTTCAATTGAAGCATGAAGTAAAATAAAATAGCCTTTTAATCTTCATACTTTTGTTGGAGACAAAGATTTAATTTCTCTGATCTTACTTTGTTTACATGAAAATATGTCTGTATATATCACAAATATTTCCACATGCTTGCTGTTTTATCCTGTCATGATTTATATTTGAGATTAAAGTAGAGCTAGACTCAAATTTATTTCCATAACCATAATTTTGATGAACTGCCTTCATTGAAAACTTTTTATAACAATGAATAAGAATATCAAAGCACATGTTTGTTATTACAAGTAAATGTTAATACATTTCTTAGCTATCTATAGGTACTTGTCATTTGTAATTAAATTAATTTATTTTAAAGTGGTACTCAAGTTTTAATGATTGAAAAACTTTTAATTAGGAGTTGTAACATTTAAATCTCAAAAGTATGTTTATTAGTTAATATTCTTATTACAACCAAGAAAAGAGCTACGAATAAGAAAAGGAATAAATATTTAATATTTCTAAAGTGCAGTTTTGTTTTTATTTAAAAACTTCATTTCATCCTCGAAAAATTTGGCTATGAATAATGGAAAACTGAGTTTCATTTCAAATTCTATTCCCTTTGGATTATTGACTTTAAGTTAGCTGCCCAGTATATTTGTGCAACTATATTCTTGTTTTAGAAGTTCTAAGTGAAGTTCTGGATAGAATGAAACCTAACAGAAGATGAATATTAGGAGACAGTGAGGAGATTCTGTCCTGGAGAGTTATGAAAATGTATTGCTGAGTCATTTGAATTGATGAACATTTGTGAAGCAGAGAATGCTGCTATGTGGATGGTATGATTCCTGCTGCAACTCCAATTCTAGGAGTTCCTTTAGATAAACATGGGGATTGTTTATCTGAATATCAGAGTTGCAGCTTTGTGCCTATTAGATAGGGGGAACAGATTTCCTCTTTTTCATATGCAGCTGAATGTATTTTTTCTTTAATTCTTCAAAAGAAGGTTACATTGACTATGTAGTTATTGTTTTCTTCTGAAACAAAAAGGTAAGAGAGATTTAGCAAAAACAGTTAACATGCTGTATTTAAACCTACTCACAACTGTGGAAATAATGAATCCAGCAGCTTTTACCTTGACACATCAAAGTGTAAGCAGTTGGCTTTGCTGTGGAATGAAAACAAGTTCCATGGCTATGTGGGATCAGATCTACCCAGAAAGAGAATTCTAGTAGGAGACTGAGACATTTATTGAAAAGAATTAGTTAATACAATCATTGGGCTGGTTATGCAGAGCCAAAGGGCAGAACTGGATGGACAGACTGGTTCAAAAGGGAGGTGTCCATGGCTGGAATTTCGTCTTCCTTGGAGAAACCTTAGTGCCTGCTTTTAAGGATTTCAATTGATTTAGGCCAGGGATTTACCTGCTCCTCCTCCCATTGCTAAGAAGATGCCATTAAGCTTGACCTTTTTTTTTTTTTTTTTTTTGTTCTTGTTTTGTATTCCATGTGAGTTCTGGGAATGAAATTTGGGTCCTCATTCTTGCAAGGCAAACACTTTACAGCCTAACAATTTCCCTAGTTCTAATAGAGTCATTTTTGTTGGTATGGAGGAGAGTAATGGAATTTTAAGTTATTTATGATTTCATATGTTCATGAAAAAGGATGCGTTTGTAGAGAACCAAATAGGCTGATGTGGTAAAGTTAGGAACTGCTGCTTCTCAGT